CTCTAGTTCCAGCTCTTGCCAACCTAGCAGTTCGAAAGCAAGAAATTGCAAGTAGATAAATAGGTACCACTTTGGTGGGAAGGTAACAGCGTTCCATGCGCTTTGTTGTTTAGTCATGCCAGCCACATGACCACGGAAACGACTTCGGACCGCGCTGGCTCTTTGACTTGGAAACGGAGATGAGCACCGCAACCCTAGAGTCGGACTCGACTGGATTTCGAGCAAGGGAACCTTTACCTTTACTTTTACCTTTCCCCTGAGCTTCTCCGCTTTTGTGGAGAAACTCAAGGAAGGGGGGGATTTAAATGCCTTTCTTTCCCTTCCCCACGTGGGGAAGGGAGAGAAAGGCATTCTAAACATGCCTGGGTTCCCTGCCTGATCTTCTCCGGGCCGCGGGCCACCTGGAGAAAATCAGGCAGGGAACCCAGTCATGCTTGCATGCCTGCCCTTTGTCAGGGGATGTGGCAAATGAGTTATGCCAATGAGCTCCTGCACCTCTTTTTCTACGAAATGACCCCTGCTTATAGGTTCCTCCCCCCCACCCCACATACCTTCTATTCCTGTAGAGGCATGTGTACAAATTATGAATCAAATCCTAGCATGCTCTTCACCTCCATCCTTGACACAGTGTGCCCACTTTGCTTTTTTGTATTCTTTTTCTTCAACCGTCTGACATATATTCCTGATGAATCATTTGTTTGCCAATTAAAAAAAAATTACACTCTCCAAAATATCCACCTATCTATTCAGGGAGTGGAGGATTGGACGTTGGACATGGGGTACAGCCAGAGTGCTGCACACATCCCTACTTGGAAAAGAGATGAGAGCTTTACAAGGTCATTAACACAAGTCAAACAGCCTACACAACTCTAGATTCTGTCCCCAGCCAAAAGAACAAGATCCCTCTATCCTGAACCCAGTTTAGGTAGAAAGACTCTCTGTATGCTTAAAAGTGGGAAGCAGCCTTCTGCACCAGGCTTTTCGCCAGATCTATGTGTGTGTCTCTCTCTTCTCCCTGGCTCTCTAACTACTTCTTCTTTGTTACCCTTTTTCTCACTCTCCATTGAGTAGATCGGTCTTTCATCATGAGGGGGCAATTAAAATTATAGCTATTGCGACTGGTTACAAATACCCTGTTTCCCCAAAAATAAGACCTACCCCAAAAATAAGCCCTAGCAGGATTTCTATGCATTTGTGGTATAAGCCCTAGTGTGTCTTCTTGAGAAAAAATAAATATAAGACGGTGTCTTATTTTCGGGGAAACACGGTATACTACGTTACTTGTTCTAACAACTCTGGACCGTTTTGCAGCAGGCATCTCACGAGCTACCACTTAAAATATCAGTTGATGTTGTTATAATAGCTCCAAAAATTTACAAGGAATTATTTATAGAATAAAGATTGAAGGTCAAAGAAGACGGGGACGGCAAAGGATGAGATGGTTAGACAGTGTCATAGATGCAACGAACATGAAATTGAGCAAACTTCAGAGGACGGCGGAAGACAGGAAGGCCTGGCATGATCTGGTCCATGGGGTCGCGAAGAGTCGGACTCTACTGTGCGACTGAACAACAACAAAAATAAACCATGCTGACACTACATTGAGGGATCACAAACATGGTTAGGAGAGGACTAGTAATAATCATTGTCACGTGTTACGGATGGTGCCAGTTTTTTAGAAGGGTAATAATGAATACTTTTAGATATATTGGCCAAAAGAGGATAGGAATGCCTTTCACAGTTAAAACATTCGGGAGGCAGATTCAGATTTAAGGTACCTTAGAGAGAATGAGTAGAGAGTCTTTCTGTTTGGACTGAGATCAGGATTCTGAGTTAAACGGGGTACTTTATATACACTTCGCCACGAGGAAAGAAAAGTCTGGTTTGCTATTCCTATTGAATCTCTCAGTATTCCTCTTTCTCTGCAGGGAAAGGCCCCGGAACCACTTGAGCCACCGCAGCTATATTATTAGGTTGTCTAAAATTGTGAAGTAGGAAAATAACCCAGATCACTTGATGGGGGGAGATTTTAATGACATGCTAGATGCAGCTTTGGATTGAAGCAACCCCAAAGAATATTCATTGGTAAGATCTAAACTCAAAGCCTATATGGCTGAACTAGGTTTGACTGATCCCCAGCATATATTGCATCTAATGGACAGAGAGTATACTTTTATTTATTCTGTGCATCATAATTGTTAACGGTTAGATTATTCTCTTGTTTCACCTTCTCTGATATTATTACCTGTAATACAGATGTTATTGTTATTTCTGACTGTGCCCCCCATATAATTAGTCCTTTGGTTTCCAGACTGGGTTAGACCATCTGGCTTATGGTGTTTAATGTTTTCTTTTTAATGATAAGACTTTTAAAAATGGCTGAGTTAGCAAAATATTTTAATATGAATAAAGGAACAGCTAGTACTTGTGCTACTGAATGGGATGCTTGTAAAGCTTTTATTAGAGGGAGAATCATTGCATATGCTTCTCAAAAGAAGAAGCTTAGAGAAATGAAAGTAGAAACTTTGAAAGATAGGGATGATGAGGGTGCCCTTCGACTACCAAAAATGCTGTTGGGGATCCTGGGTCCTGCATTCATGTGTGACAGGGGCTTTGATAAGGAGGAGGATTACGCAAGACTGGATGAAAAACCTAGCTGGATCCAATCCCATATATTCTTACCTATTTAGCATTAAGAAAGTATTCTCTAATGTATTTCGACTTTGGCTTACTCTTGCAAAGCACATCTTTGGAGTAAATCCAGTAAAAAAGGAAAGAAAATAGGAGTGTAGTATTAGTAGTAGAAGAAGAAGAGTTAGTTTTTATACCCCATTTTTTCTACCATAAGGAGTCTCAAAGTGGTTTACAATCTATTTTCCTTTTTCTCCCTACAACAGTCACCTTGTGCAGTAGGTGGGGCTGAGAGAGTTCTGAGGGAACTGTGACTGGCCCAAGGTCTCCCAGCAGGCTTCATGTGGGGGAGTAGGGAATCAAACCTAGTTCTCCTGATTAGGGTCCACTGCTCTTAACTACTATACCATGCTGGCTGCCCAAGTATATGTTGTATTATTAAGATTTCTTAGCTTGTATTAAGTTTTTTAGTAACTACCTCATTCTCAAACATATTCTTGTAAGAAATTTTGGAGCTGGTACTGGACTTTCAAAAACAATGAGGTGTGTTGAATACGTTGTTACTTATTAGCAGAATGTTTTATGTCTTTCTTAATAGATTGTGGGCGTCGCCCTGCAGCACGTATGAGCAAGAGGATCCTTGGTGGCAGGACCAGTCGCCCAGGACGATGGCCGTGGCAGTGCTCCCTGCAAAGCGAGCCAAGTGGGCACATTTGTGGCTGTGTTCTCATTGGGAAAAAATGGGTATTGACAGTGGCACACTGCTTTGAGGGGTGAGTGGTGCTGAGAATGTTTTACTATTAATACAAGAGTTGCAGTTCCCAAACTGTGAACTTATATAGTAGACAGTTGGTACATGAATAGAACTCTGTAGGCTGGAGCACATATTACAGACATCATGTGGATCCTGCTAAAAACTACCTCCTTGTAGAGACTGATTTCTGCAATGGGTAAAAGAACACACCACTTGGAGCTCTGGTATTGTGCTGAAAGTTTCAGTTGGTCTCCGTTGATCATTATGATGTCC